TTCACATGAGAACTCACACAGGTCAGAAGATTTATGAATGTCTGTATTGTGGAAAAAGCTTTTCTTATAAGTGTAATTTTAATAGACACATTAGAATTCACACAGGGGAGAAGCCTATCTCCTGTACAATTTGTGGCAAAGGTTTTAATGTAAAAAGTGGTTTGACTGAACACATGAGAACTCACACTGATGAGAAGCCTTTTGAATGTCTGTCGTGTGGGAAAAGCTTTTCTTATAAATTTAACCTTAATAGACACATCAGAATCTACACCGGTGAGAAGCCTTTCTACTGTACAATTTGTGGCAAAAGTTTTACTATTAAATGTAGTTTAACTGAACACTTGATAATTCACACAGGTGAGAAGCCTTTTACGTGTCAGTCCTGTGGAAAAAGCTTCAATTCTAAGTCTGAACTTAATAGACACATCAGAATTCACACAGGTGAGAAGCCTTTTAGATGTGTATATTGTGAAAAAAGCTTCAATCAGAAATGTGATCTTGATGCACACATCAGAGTTCACACAGGTGAGAAGCCTTTTACTTGTCCATCCTGTGGAAAGAGTTTCCTCTCTACGTCTATTCTTAATACACACATCAGAATCCACACAGGTGAGAAGCCGTTCTCCTGTACAATTTGTGGCAAAAATTTTAGCCAGAAAGGTAGTTTGTCTAACCACATGAGAATTCACTCAGATGAAACAACCTTTTCTTGTAAGACCTGTGGAAAAGGCTTCAATCGGAAATTTAATTTTGATAGACACATTAGAATTCACACAGATTAAAGCCTTTCTTCTATACTATTTGCGGGGCGACAGTGGCTGAGGATGAAAGAGTTTGCCCTGCAACTGGTGTGTTGTCAGTTCAAACCCCGGCTCCGACTTTCAGTGACGTGTCGTACTGATGGCGGCTAGAGGGACTAGTGGCACCTGAGTGTGTGCGAGAATAACTGAATGGAGTGTAAAGAGATTTGGTCCATCCTCTGACTTGATAAAGCGCTATAACAACAGGCCATTTACCTGTACAGGTTAAAGTTTTATTGGAAAAAGTAACTGGACAAGGCACGTGATGGCTCATGTGAGAATAATTTTTCATCCATGACACATGAAATTCAATCATAAAAAGGGAGATTTGTTGCTTCTAATAAGAAGTCACAAAACAGTGATGCCATTTTAGCCTCACAAAAAAGGACACCTTAAATGCATTAAGCCTTAAAACTTCAACATTCCTCAGAGAATCTCTTTAACTGAGATTTAAACGACCTCTCCCCTTTTTTTTTGCTTATTAAATGTTTGCACAGTTCTTAGATACAATAATACTCTGTGATTGTTAGCTAATAAAGGTACTGTTGTATTTTAACCCGTGGCTTTTTGTGGTTATTTTATGCAATCGTTTATTACTCAGGCTGGATTCACTCTTCTTTTAGCAACATTCAAATGAACAGAGACGGATTTATCTGCTTGGTGATTAATAACTCTTCAGATAGGCATACTCTAAATTACTAAATTGGTAAAGGGAACGGGATTTTAAACAGCCAGCCCAGGAGTCCAACCTTTTATCTAAAAGACTAAGAACCCTGGTTGGTATGTAAATTACAGTTGTAATCATTCAACTAATAATCAATTGGTTTTACCCTTGA